ATATATATATATATTTGTGCACCAATCATTGTATATTTATTATATAGACACAAGAACAAATTGAACGCCCTCATGATGTTGTGCACTTTAAACTGTACTTACATACAAAATATGTGTAATAATACGCGACGGTCGACGCCACTGCGGTTTCCTAATAACACCGTATAACAGTAATCCCGTGAAACCGATGTCCGCGCGGTTCGATCACCAGTTCACCACAACAACTGTCGACGATTTATATACCTCCCGCGGATCACCTGGCGGCAGAGAGCATAGAAATTACAAAAAAAAAAAACTTAAAAACTCAAGTAGGTGGCCACCACCGATTCTGGAGTTTCGGATGTCACGTATTTGCACGTATATACAATATTATACAAAGGTACTGCAAACCACAGCGGCAACTAGTGTATAGTAATAATAATAATAATAATAATAATATATATGCGCGGCCGGGCTCTTAATTCACACAATAATCGCCACCCCTTTGGATATATATTATTATATTTTCGGCTCATTAACGAGCCGCCGCCGCCGCTGACGAAGGGGATTCGGCGACGGCGGCGAAAGTGGCGGATAAACGGGCGCTTACGAGGAGATTTCGGGAGAAAACTCTGCAGCGTTTCACGAGACGGACAGCGGCGGTGGCGATTGCAGTAAGGGCGGTCGGCGGGGCGTGGAAAAAAACCATATAAATAATATAATATAAAATAAATTACACCGGAAGGGTTGCGCGTTGACGCCACACAAAGCGACGGCACGTGATGTACCAGCAGACGTACTGCATAWATTATGATGAAATAAAATAATGGCAGGACACGGGCTTGACCGGGAACCGTGATGACCAGTGTCCGCCGTTTTGCTTTTCATTATTGTAATAATTATTATGTTTTGTGTCCGCTGAAGAAAATATCACGTACATAATAATATTATCTGCTGGACGGGCCGAAACGGGAGACGTTCATGCGGGCGACCATGGGAAAACTAAATACGCGACGCATAATAATAATTGTAATAATATATTAACATCGCCCGCTCACAAGTAGTGCAACACCAGCACACACGCTGCACGTGCCAGGTTTTCGCGTATATATTATATTGCACGCAGCACCACATAATATCGTGTATCTAGGACATAATATAGGTACACTCGTTTTAGGTACACACGATGAAGGGCCTCCTCCGTGACGTCGTATCATCGTTTTCAAATACATCAGCTGACCCATTCGCACACACACACACACACACACACACACACTGTACGTGCGAGCGTATAATATAATAATATTAAATGGCCACCGGTCACGTGTGCTCGTGTGTTTACTTACATTAGGTCCGGCGAAACCAACTCGTGTCAGACGCGCGTCCGTAACACGCACACCTCGCCGCGACGCTAACGGGGGAGGTCCTCCGCCAGTGTAAATAAACTCGCGATTTCGCTCCCAATTCCGCTTCAGCGGGGTCAACCGAATGATTCCGTCGACCATCACTGTGCTGCAACCGGGGTTGGATGACCGTTTTCAATTACGCCCGAGTACCTCGCCACACAATGATGTGTAATCTACAATGTTATACAGGGTGATTCGCGCCAAGCACG